TCATCTGAGTAGGGAAAGTAAGGAGAAAGAATGTCTGGTGGGGCTTGGAGGGGGCTGCAGTCTCTGAGTGGACAAAAATCAGAAGCTGAGACCGTGAAATAGGATTCTTTTTTTTTTTTCTTCTTGGAAGCCACTTGAACTTTGTCATCAAAATTGGACTTATCTCCTCTTGTGTTTACTTAGCTCATGGGCGAGAAATGTCATTACCCTTTTTGATTTTATGGAAAACCATTTACAAGTGTTAAATTTTGCAATGGCCACTAATCTCTGTGGCTTCAAGACACACACACCCCCCAACCCCCACAGTCTAGCCAAGAGCAGGTTATTGAGGGCTGTCTGAGAGTCTCCCTGTCTTGGATCTGGGGGAGGGAAGAAGCCCTTGCTTCATATGTGTAGTCTTGGTCCACATGCCTCTGTCAGGCTGTCTCTGCATGGGGGCTGTAGGGTCTCCAGCAGCTAGGCCAGCCCCTTGCCCAGTCTGAGCTGGTCATGCTCAGTGCTGCCTGGATAGGGAGGCAGGGAATGCAGGGCAGGTGGAAGGTTTGCAGGGAGTTGGTTCTTAGGCACTGCTCTCCCTCAGACACCAGAAAAGGTAGCCAATCCAGGCTTCCTGAGAGGTCTCTGGGATTGATACTGTCCTGCCTTATGAAGAAACTTTGATGATGCTCTGGCCCCCTCTCCACCTTGGAGCCCACTGAGCAGCACTGTGGGTGTGGCATTTGACATTCATGGTCAAGGGGAGAGAGTCCAGATGTGGAATTTATGTCAGGTATTCCTTTTCGAGGAGGGGTGTTAGCAGGCATGACTGCATATGAGACTGTGGTGGGTCCAGGGCACTGCCAGTGGTCCTCCCAGATAGAGCAGGGAAGGTTTTGAGGTGGGAGGAGGTTTCAGGTAGAAGTGAATTTAGCCCAAGGCTCAACCACCGCACAGTCGTTAGACAGACACATGCCAGCTATCAGCCTGTGGGCATTAGCCTACATGTGCTTCCCTGATGGCTTGGTGGTAAAGAATCCGCCTGTCAATGCAGGAGATTTGGGTTTGATTCCTGAGTTGGGAAGATCCCGGGGAGAAGGAAATAGCAACCCACTCCAGTACTCTTGCCTGGAGAATCCCATGAAAAGAGGAGTTTGGTGGGCTACAGTCCCCGGGGTTGCAGAGAGTCAGGTATGACTGAGCAACTGAACAATAGCCTATGTAACCCAGATGCCAGCAGAGATTGGATGGTCCTCTGGGATTTGAACAAAACTAGCTTGAATTTCTCCTAAACCCAACCTAAGATCTTGGGAGATCCCTGAGGAAAGGCATCCCTTGGCCACTGGTCTTCTGGTACCATTTTCAGTACCAGATACTGTTCTGAGTATTTCTTGCTTTCAGTACCAGGTACTGTTCTCAGTACTCCTTGTTTTCACTGTGCTGTCTCTGCTCCATCACATCAACCCAGAAGTGAAGCTCAGCCCCTCATCATTTTCCTCTTGCACATCTATTGATGCAAGAATTATACTTTACTGAAACATGGAGGCAGCTGGGGAGAGAATTAAAGAAAGATGGATGGGGATTCACTTGGCAGCAAACAAGCAGCTTCAGATTCAACATCAGTCCTCCTAGAAATCTCCCTGTGCCGGGGAGTACCTTAGTGACCTGTCACCCCATACCCTCTTGCTGGCCCCTCTCCTTTCTGCATGCTGCCCTGCTCTCTCCTTTCTCCAACCATCCGGGAGGGAGAAAGAAGATGCAACCAGTGTCTCTCTCTCTCCATCTCCTGATCAGCACAGCCCTGCTTCATCATCTCAGCCTCACTGAACACCTCCCCAGCTCCCTTGCTCTCTCTCCCAAGCAGTTTATCTGATCATTTTCTCTCTCTTATACACACACACACACACACACACACACACAGTTTCCTCTCTGAGACGAATTCTGATTCCAGTTCTTAAGATAATGGATTTTACTTCTTTGTGTGCGTGTGTGTGTGTATGTGTGTGTGTGTGTTCAGCTGCTTCAGTTGTGTCCAACTCTTTGAGACCCCATGGACTATAGGGCATCAGGCTCCTCCATCCATAGGATTCTCCAGGCAAGAATACTAGACTGGGTTGCCATGCCCTTCTCCATTTACTTTCTTACATAACGCCCCCCCCCAAAAAAAATCATTGTCCCACCTGGTGGAGACCCTCAGTACAATGAGACATATTTAAGGAACCTAAGGTTTCCCCCAGTGACTCAGATGGTAAAGAATCTGCCTGTAGTGCAGGAGACTTGGGTTCGATCCCGGGTCAGGTTGGGAGGATTCCCTCGAGGAGGGCATGGCAACCCACTCCAGTATTTTTGCCTGGAGGATTCCATGAACAGAGGAGCCTGGCGGGCTACAGTCTATAGGGTGGCAAAGTGACTCACACAATCAAGGTCCAGAACAAGACAAGAGGAGGCTGTGCCGTCATCCTCTCTGAGCCATTTTCCCCACTTCCATCCCAGTGCCAGGGCATTCGTGGTGACTAAAAATGGCTGTGAGTTCTCAGCATGCAAGTCTGCTGCTTAACATTCTCCAGGGACCGTCCTGACTTGCGGCCTGGAAAGCACGTTGTGTCCCAGGCACTGTCAGAGGGAGGGCAGAACAGAGCCCACCTCTGTACTTGGAGGAACAGGTTTACTGATGCCAGATCCCCAGGCACATCAGTCGCTACCCTCTGCCCACACTGTTTGGTAGGTAGTGATCTCCCTGTGGCAGGATGTATGCTAGTGCACCTGCCAGAAAAGCCAGAGCTGGGCTCTGGCATGAGGACATGGACTTTTAAGGTGCTCTGCTGAATTAACAAGTCTGAACTCTGGAAGCTTGGCAAAGTATTGTGAGAGAGCTGGAGATAAGGGAACGCACCTCTACGTGGGCTGACACACCCTGTTAGTCTTGCTCTGGGGCACCGGTGTCCCCTGTCATGAGTCCTCAGCTACTCACGGGCCCTCTACCTCATGCACTGTCAGAACCTGAGGGCTTCTAGGCTTGCAGAGCAGATGGGCCAGCAGCCCAGCAAGTTCTGGGGTGCAGAATTCTGGTGGGGAGGGCTGCCAGTTTGGCAGATGAGAAAGTGAGCACCTTGGTGACTGTGCTACAGGTAGGACCAGATAGGATCCCCCAGCAGCGGGGAGAACTATCCAGCAAACAGAGAGAGCTCTGTCTGGAATCTCCCACCATCCACTCAGACTCGAGCTGGAATGGCAGACCAGGACTGCAGAGAAGGGAGAGAGACCGACACGGGTGGGAAGTAGTCACTGGCTCTTGGACCTGGGGTCCACAGTACCAGCCCTATTCACATCCACTCATGCTAAACTTTCAGCCAGGCACCAATCTGTTAGATACACACACACACACACACATATACACACACACACCCCAATCTCCTGGCTGCCCAGAGCCAACGATTCAGTTGTTTGATAGGGCATACCAACCTGACTATTCTATCTCTCATTTTTGTTTAACGAGAAACAACGTGGCCTCATTGTCTGCTGACTGTTTCTATTTGCTGACTCATCATTCACTCTATGTTGACTACGTGCCTGTGTGTTGGGAATACTAAAGAAAAGGTACAGTGGAAAAGAAGACTTAGAGAAAAAAATCCCAGTAGGAATGAGAATACAGATATTTGCAAAGTGCTCTCTGAGCCCAGAGGATTCACAAAGAAGACGACCAAGGGGAGAAGAAAAGAGAGGCAGAGGGAGCCCCTTGAAAGCCAACAGGGAGGCATGGATACCCCGATAGGTTCAGTTGATCCAGGAGGTCCTTCCCTCTTCTTTCTCCTAACTTGTCTCTGGCTAATTAAATGCACCTCAATTTCCACATGTCTGATTTAAAGGTATCCTTTCACACTTCCAAAAGGAGACTGTGCACCGGTGGTCATCAAGGAGGGATTCCCAGAATACAAAGCAGCTCTAGGGGCTGATGACAGGTTTGTGTGAAGATAAAGATGGGAAGACTTTATAGACATAGTGGGGACGGACTGAGAGAGTAGCACTGACATATATATACACTACCATGTGCAAAATAGATAGCTAATGGGAAGCTGCTGTATAGTACAGGGAGGTCAGCTCAGTGCTCTGTGATGACCTAGAGGGGTGGGCTTGAGAAAGAGGGGACATATATGTACTTACAGCCGATTCATGATGTTGTCCAGCTACAGTGTACAGTAGGTAAACTAACATAACATTATAAAGCAATTATCCCCTAATAAATTAATTTAAAATTTTATTTCTTTAAAGATGGGAAGAGATGGTAAGTTTATGTAACTAAAATGAGATTTTGAGACTGAAGGGATTCCTTGGTATTTTTCCTGGGGCGTCTAGATTTAGGCCCCAACACACACACACACACACACACACACACACACACACACACACACACCCCTACATGTATATGTGTATATGTGAACATGCACACACATGCAGGTTTGTATGTATGGGTATGTATGGGCTTCTCTGGTGGCTCAGTGGTAAAGAATCTCCCTGCCTATGCAGGAGACCGGGGTTCAGTCCCTGGGTTGGGAAGATCCCCTGGAGAAGGAAATGGCAACCCACTTCAGTATACTTACCTGGGAAATCCCATGGACAGAGGAAGCTGGTGGGCTACAGTCCATGGGGTCGCAAAGAGTCAGAAACAACTGAGCAACTAAACAACAATAAGAATGTATGCACACACACACACACACACACACACACTTCACGGAAAGTAGCACCTTAAAATCTGCAGGGCTGTAGGGCTTTGTACCTGATTGACACTCACCAATGTTTGCTGAATTGGAACAATCCGCTGCCAGGCCCATCCTGTTTTTTTATCGTTGACCATTGCTCTCAAGAGTTAATGTTTGACCCTGGCCATAAAGGAGATGACAGCTGATGACTTGTGAGTGACTTTTGGAAGGGAAGGAGCCCCCTATAAATTAGCCCACACTGGCCCACACTGGCAGCCCTTCCAGAAGAGCTGGTGAATCAGCTGTGAAGAGAGCCTCTCCACCACCATGAACTTCTCTGGCAAGTACCAAGTCCAGACCCAGGAGAACTACGAGGCCTTCATGAAGGCAGTTGGTGAGTGCTGGGCCGAGGCTGGGATCATGGCCATGAAGGCTTGGCCCTGCAAGTGGTGGCCAGTGTCCTGAAGTCAGACAGGAGGAGCAGTTCAAGCTTCATACAGATTTGGAATCATGTTCTGCAGGTTTCTTGTGCAATTTGGGCTATTCCTCCCTAGACAAGACTATATCTTAGGCAAGTGGAAATGGCACTGAACTAAGATCTGATCTAGATTGAAGCCACCTCCGTTGCCACCTTACTGAGTGACCGTATTCATTCACTCATTCATTCCTTTCTTCATTCTTCTAACAAACTCTGATTCAAGGCCAACCACACGCTGAGCAGTGTGCTGTGCTGAGCAGATACCACAGAGACAGATAACAATGAGCCGCATTTCCAAGGTCACAATTTAGAGAGAGAAAAAAGAGAAGAAATGAATGCAACACAGCCTCTTCTAACGTGTCTTGAGTGTTGACTCAGCACCAGGCCTCGTGCTAAAGCCCCAGATGGGCAACTTCCTGTTGTTAGCCTCCGCTCACTCAGTCATGTCCAATTCTTTTCAACCCCATGGACTGTAGCCCACCAGATTCTTCTGTCCATGGAATTCTCCAGGCAAGAATACTGGAGTGGGTTGCCATTCCCTTCTCCAGGGGATCTTCTGGACCCAGGGATCAAACCTGGGTCTCCTGTATTGCAGGCAGATTCTTTACTGTATGAGCCGCCAGGTTGAGTCCTCACCAAAAACTCTGAGCTCGGCACTATTATTTTTCCTATTTTACAGTCAAGGCAATGAGGGCCTTGAAAGAGCAACTAATGCCAACTGGGGTCACACAGATCATAATCCCAAACTGAGTTGAGATATAAAGCCAGCACTGGTTCCCAGGACCCCACTTTAAATCCTTGTCACCCACTCACCCCACTGAGTCACTTACAGGAGGATGTGGTGCCCGTGGGAGGGTGTCAGGGGAAGGATTGGTAGGAGTGAAGGTGAGCCTTGGGCCTTGAGAGATGAGAAAGTGTCCCCTGGGGACTGGAGGAGGATATTGTGCTCCAGGGGAGGAAGCAAATGGGGTGGGGAGACAAGGAAGAGTGCTGAGCAGGAGACGGTGGGGAAGATAGCAAAGGCAGAGATAGGAAGCATTCTGGGGTGGCTGAGAGCTGGGATCTTCTCCTCTAGGACACAACACAACACCTCTTGTCCTGTATCCCTCACCTGGCAACAGGAGCCTCCCCATCACTGTCAGTGCACCTGGTTTTCCTGAGCCTCAGTTCATATGACAGCACAGACACACTCTGATATTCATCACACTCTGTCCCCGGAGAAGGGACTCCTGGTCCATCTTCCTTAAAAGCCTTGACGGCAGAGGTGGAGGTAGGGATTGGGGGCATAGGCTTGCCAGGCACGATCCTGCTGTGTGCCTCTTGTCCCTGAATAGTTTTTTAATTCATTTATTTTTTATTGGAGGATAACTGCTTTACAATGTAGTGTTGGTTTCTGTCATATGTCAGCATGAATCAGCCATAAGTGTGTGTATATCCCTTCCCTCTTGAATCTCCCTCCCATCCTGGCATAATTTTTAAGAGCTTCCCTTTCGTCTCAGGAGGGACCTGGCTCGGGAGACAGCTGATGGTCACCCTGCGTGTGGAGGGAAAAGTACTTGCACTCAAAGAGCAAAGTCTCCGAGCTTTAAACAGGGAGGATGGAGGAGGGAGAATGAGTAAGAAGCACGTGCTCAGCTAAGGAAAGCTTCCCCGGGGCAGAGAAGTGATTTTTTCTTTTTTTAACAAACCAAACTGGCAAGATAGTGGGCACCTGAGGTCAGGCCAAATCAGGCCACTGACCTTCGCTTTCAGAGGTCAAAGCTCAGTTTGCTCACAGGGCTCCAGGAAGTGCCAAGGCCTCAGGGATCTCTCCTCCCCCTTCTCACCACAGGGTTTCTCTTGTGACCGCCAACTTGCAGGTCCCATCTCTGCTGTTTAGTGGCTCAGTCGTGTCCGACTCTTTCTATCCCCGTGGACTGTAGGCCACCAGGCTCCTCTGTCCATGGGACTCTCCAGGCAAGAATACTGGGGTGGGTAACTATTTCCTTCTCCAGGCGATCTTCCCAACCCAGGGATCTAACCTGGGTCTCCTGCATTGCAGGAAGATTCTTTATTGACTGAGCCACCAGGGAAGCCCCACTCCCACTTCTACCCACCTCTAAACCTTCAACGCTTCCCTCCAGGGATGCCCGATGACATCATCCAGAAGGGAAAGGATATCAAGGGGGTGTCGGAAATCGTGCAGAATGGGAAGCACTTCAAGTTCACCATCACCGCTGGCTCCAAAGTGATCCAGAATGAGTTCACCTTGGGGGAGGAGTGTGAGATGGAGTTCATGACTGGGGAGAAGATCAAGGTAAGAGTCGCCCCCTCCAGCCACCCTCTGCTTCCAGAACTTTTCCTGGAGCCTGGCCCCAAGCTTCCTCCCTCAAGGCTCCCAGCTCACAACTCCTACTGCTGAGACCCTATCTCTGAACCCACAGCTGGGGTGGAAAGGCAGAGAGATAGCAGAAACCAAGACAATACTGTCTCCACATGGTTCAGTGGATAAAGAATCCACCTGCAATGCAGGGGACATAGGAGACACAGGCTCGATCCCTGGGTCAGGAAGATCCCCTAGAGTAAGAAATGGCAACCCACTCCAGTATTCATGTCTGGGAAATCCCATGGACAGAGGAGCCTGGCGGGCTACAGTCCATGGTGTTGCAGAGTCAGACACAACTGAGTGACTAAACACACAAGCAGAAAACACAATATTGTAAAGAAATTATCCTCCAATTAAGAATAAATAAATAAGCCAGCTCTTAAAAAAGAAGCTCTTAGGGTAAGTGTCAATTTCCTGGGACCTCCTGGAGGAACTCTGGCCTGAGAATCTATTACTGTTGTTCAGTTGCTCAGTCACATCTGACTCTTTGTCATCCCATGGACTTCAGCACACCCGGCTTCCCTGTCCTTCACTATCTCCCTGAGTTTGCTCAAACTCATGTCCTTTGAAGTCAGTGATGCCATCCAACCATCTCATCTTCTGTCGCCCCCTTTTCTTCTTGCCTTCCACCTTTCCCAGCATCAGGGTCTCTTCCAAAGAGTTGGCTCTTCGCCTCAGGTGGCCAAAGTTTTGGAGTTTCAGCTTCAGCATTAGTCCTTCCAGTGAATATGCAGGACTGATTTCCTTTAGGATTGACTGGTTTGATCTCCTTGCACTCCAAGGGACTCTCAAGAGTCTTCTCCAGCACTGTAGTTCAAAAGCATCAATTCTTTGGCACTCAGCCTTCTTTATGGTCCAACTCTAATATCCATACATGACTACTGGAAAAACCATAGCTTTGACTAGAGGAGAATCTGAACTCTCCCATATGGAGGGTATGGGGGAACCAGGCCCAGAGCAGGAGTCTAAAAGATTCAGATTCTCCCAGGCCCAGAAACAGGCAAGTGGGAGGCAGTGCAAAACCTTAACAGAGCCCTAAGTTCATCCCTGATCCTAAGGAAATGGCTTTGCCAAGCCTAGAGCTGGTGGTCATGGGGAGAGACTTCCTGAAGGAGGTGCTGGCTATACCAGAGAACCAAGGCCCCAGACAGGCCTTCAGATCAAGCCTTGCAGGTTGGTCAGTGACCCCTGGTCTTCACTACCTCATCTGTGAAATGGGCACAGTCACTTCCCAGAGCAAAGACAGTGGATAAGCTAGCATCACCTCTACTGGGCTGTGGATAAGGTATGCAATTCAAGCTGGGGAGTAGGATGTGTGAGTGGTGGGCAGGTGGTGGCAGGGAGATCCAGGCAAGGGGGTGCCCCTCTCAAAGGGTCTCTATTCCTCCCTCCCAAGCCCCACAAGCCAATACTAGCATCACCAATACCACCGAGCAGAGATCCCCGCTCCTCTCCCCCAGCATCCCCTGACCCCAGAAAACTTTGTGCATCTGTCTCAGCACAACCATTGGTCTTTTTTTTTAAAAAAAAAAAAAAAACCTTTTATAGTGGCTCTTGACTTCTGCTTCCCCAGATAAAATGTTACAGGTCAGGAAACCTATGATAAATTTTAGAAGGGAAACTCTCTTATACGCCTACAGTAAGGGGCAAGCTGTCATGGCCCTTTCCAGCTGTCCATTTTGGAGGCAAATTTTAACCTTGGCCAGTATCTTCTGCTCCCTGCTGAGTTTCTGTTACCTCTTCCTGCATGTGTGAAAAGGAGACCACAAGAGGAAAGATGAAGGTGCTAGAAGGAATAACATAACGTAACACAAAACCAAGACAGGTGTTCTCCCAAATGGCCAGTGTGTTGAATCTTACTACTTCCTCCCTCCATTAACTTGGAGAATTGTTATTTGACTTTAGTGTTTGATTTGAGACCACTTATCCATCCTATGCTGACTCCTGGATCACAGCCCATAAATGAAAAGTCTGACAAAAGAAGCCCTGCTGTTTTCTTCAGTTCTTACATGACCTCACATGTGTTCAGAGCCAGGGAAGGGGGTTTGGTTGCTGTAAGCAGAGTCCCATGCCGGGGAGCCAGCCTCATTAGCAAGAGTTACTCCCTCTTGGACCCCTCCTCACAGGCTATTTCTTCTGTCCCCTACAGGCGGTGGTTCAGCTGGAAGGTGATAATAAACTGGTGACAACTTTCAAGGGCATCAAGTCTGTGACTGAATTCAATGGTGACACTGTCACCAGTGTAAGTCTGCACTCTCAGCTTGGGCGTCCTAGTACTTGGGGCTGGGTGGGGAGGTGGATAGTGGGCGATCAGGGGAGACATGAAAAGCAGTGACTATTTCCTGTGGTCAGTCTCTGCTACTACTTCCTGAGCATCCTTTGTGCCCCAGGCAGTTTCCACACATTTTCTCAAATCGTCCCACCAATGCTGAATTTCCTAAATATGGAAACTGAGGCGGCATACAGCCAGGAAATGGCAGGGCTAGGGTTCCTCTGAACTGGATCTATCACACAAGACTGATATCCATGGTGATACACTGCACAACCCTAGAAGGAGCCACTCTCATTACAGACAGAGGGGTTTTGTACGTTTCTTACCATCTTGAAATGAATGCTAATAAGGCATCTGTGGAGAAGGAAATGGCAACCTACTCCAGTATTCTTGCCTGGAGAATCCCATGGATAGAGGAGCCTGGCAGGCTACAGTCCATGGGGTCACAAAGAGTCAGACACAAGTTAGAGAGTGAGCAGGAGGAAGAAGTGTTCAATGAAATGTTGAGAAATTGGATTGGATTGAACTGGTTTGGATGGTCTTGCTCTAAGTCATTGATGTAGAAAGGAATTCTGTAAAAGGCAGGACAGCTCTGAATGTGAAGAAGTGACAAAGACTTGGCATGGGATTTTAGAAAAGATTGCCTATCCTTCCTCCGGTCCTATAGAGACCAGAGGCATCTCTGAGTTGCTGAATATATTAGCATACTGGGGCTTAACTATTCTTTACAATTCTACATCAGATGAACATTTCATGATTTCTTTTCTGGCTTTCAGACGATGACGAAGGGCGACATTGTCTTCAAGAGAATCAGCAAGAGAATTTAGACAAAGTCTGCATTTCATATTCTTTTAGCATGTACAACTAATGTAATAAAGTGAACTTTGTTTTAAGAAAAAACAATGTCTTCTTTTTGCTTAAAGGAGGAAGGGGAAAGGGAGGTAAAGGAGAGAGACTGAGAGAGAAGTGGACCTGGTGTTGCCTCTCTCTCTCTTTTTTTAATATTTATTTTTGTTTATTTGGCTTCATCAGCTTAGTTGCGGCATGCAACATGTGGGATCCAGTTCCCTGACCACGAATGAAACCTAGGCCCCCTGCATTGGGAATCTTAGCCACTGGACCACCAGGGAAGTCCCCAAAATGTCCTTTCTTCTTGATGGCTTTTCCTTAATGGGGTTCTTGAACACTGATCACCTCTAGTTTTGTAAATCTTGATCATCTACATATTACATCCTGCAGGGTTAAGTCTGATTCTCACCCTGAAAGCAGACCCCAGGCTGTCCACTCAGGCAGTCCTATAAGGAACACATGAAGTAGACCAGCCCTGGAATGACATGTCCCGCCGGACAGCCACACAGCAAGGAGCTGGAGCATGATGCTGTGTGGTGGACTAGGTCACTCCCGTGGGGACAGAGAGAGCAGGATCACTGGACAGGCAAAGGGAAGCCATGCACACAAGTGTGGCCTTAGCAGCCCCACCAGCCCCACCAGCCCCACCCACCTAGAGACATGAACAAAAGGAGCAGGCCCTGAACCACCCAATGGACAATTCTCCCTCTGGGGGGCGCCAGAAGTGGACAGAGGAACCTCAAGTAGAAAGTCCTTCTGGGCTGTGGGCAGAAGCAGATTAAGGGAGAAGAGGGGTGTTTCCCCAAATGGTACCCTGTTCCAGGCTCTGGTAACTGTTATGAGTTGAGTTGCATCTCCCCAAAACTCACATGTCAGAGTCCTAACCCTCAGCCTCTGATTGTGACCTTGCTCCACCACAGCCATTGCAGATGTAAGTAGGTAAGTTAAGATGAGGTCATGCTGGAGTAGGGCGGGCCCTAATCCTAAATGGCTGGTATCCTTATAAAAACGACAAATGTATGGGGACCTCCCCGGTGACTCAGTGGTAAAGAATCTGCCTGCCAGTGCAGGAGGCATGAGTTTGATCCCAGTGTTGGGAAGATCCCCTAGAGGAGGAAATGGCAATGCACTCCAGTATTCTTACCTGGAGAATCCCATGGACAGAGGATTGTGGCAGGCTACCGTCCATGGACTTGTAATGATTTGGACACAATTGAGTACAAGCAGAAGCAAGATGAGGGATTCCCTAGTGGTCTAGTGGTTAAGACTCCACGCTCCCAATGCAAGGGGCCTGGGTTCAATCCCTTGTCAGGGAACTAGATCTCATATGCTACAAGTAAAGATCTTGCATGCATGCCACAACAAAGATTCCTCGTGCTAAGACCTAGCACAGTTAAATTTTTTTTTAAAAGCATAAATTTATGGAAATGGAAACATGCACACAGGGAGTATGCCATGTGGAGACTGGAGTTATGCAACCACAAGCTGAGGAGCTAGCAGAAACCAGGAGAGAGGCCGGGGCAAGATCCTTTCCTACCTCCTGCGAAGGGAGCATAGCCTTGTTCACCTTGATGTTTGAGTTCTGGCCTCCAGAACTCTGAGATAACAAATGTCAGCTGTCTGAGCCAGCCAGAGAGCTGCCAAGCTCTGGAATTTCTATCTTACATCCCTCAGCTCTCATAACTGCATCCAGCCCACAGAAATCTCTCAACAAATGTACCTTGATGAGACTTAGAGAATATACTTATGGTTGCCAGGAGGAAGAGTGGGGGGAAGGGATATTTAGCGAGTTTGGGATGGACATGTACCCACTGCTGTATTTAAAATGGATAACCAACAAGGACCTTATGTACAGCACAGGGAACTCTGCTCAATGTTATGTGGCAGCCTGGATGGGAGGGAAGTTCAGGGGAGAATGGATACATGTGTATGTATGGCTGAGTTCCTCTGCTGTTCACCTAAAACTTTCACATTGTTAACCAGTCATACCTCAACACAAAATATAAAGTTTTTTTTTAAATAATACATTTCCAGAAATTCACTTCTTAAAAAAAAAATGTACCTTGATGAACAAATGACTCTGTCACCTTTCCCACCTTCTTTCCTCCCTTTTCTGGAGCTGAAGCCCCATTACTTTTTACTTGCATAGTATCATAGGCCATAATGGCAACTCCCTGCCTCTCTATCTTACCTGTGAACCTTCACCCCATGAACTGTCATCTTCCCTAAAAACAGCATGGGTCATAATGCATCCCAATTCACTGACTTCTACATGAGAGTCAAACTCCGTAAATGGCATCCAAGTCTCTATAACAAGGATCAGTAAACTTTTGTAAAAAGCCAGGAAGTAAATATTTTAGTTTGTGGGCCACCCAGTCTCTGCCACAGACCCCCCAGTTCTGCTGTGGTTAACACTGAAGCAGCCACAGGTGATGCCCAAACAGGTGGGTGTGCCTGTGTTTTACTGAAACTTCATTTTTGAACACTGAAACCTGAATTTCATATCATTTTCATGTGTTCTTCTTTTGACTTTTAAAAACTTTTTTAAAGTTTAATTTTTTATTTATTTTTAAATGTTGGTTATGCTGAATCTTTGTTGCAGTGTACAGGCTTTCTCCAGCTGCTGTATACGGGCTTAGTTGCCCTGAGGCATGTGGGATCCTAGATGCCAGACAAGGGATTGAACCCGTGTTCCCTGCATTGGAAGGTGGACTCTTAACCACAGGACACCAGGGAAGTCTCTGGTTGTTTTTTTCCAACCTATTTAAACATGGAGAAATATCCTTAACTGGCACACCATGTAGAAAAAGGTGGTAGTCAGATCTGAGTCATGGACCCTATGATTAAAGTGAAGACCTTGAAATGGGAAGATTATCCCGGATTATCCCACTGCGGCCAATGAAATCACAAGAGTTCTAAGTGAAAGTGGCAGGCAAGGAGGGTCAGAGAAGGAGTGATGTGCTGCTGACTGGGGGTCACAAACCAAGGAATGTGGGCATTCCAGAAGAAGCACTTAGAAACTGGAAAAGACAAGACACAGATTCTTCCCCAAGAATCTCCTTATTGATTTCTTTCTGCATCCTTAAGAGAAGTAAACCTGAGATATCCAGGTTAAAGGTTGTATCTGGCCTTTAATACATGTCTGTCAATTCACTTGTGGGGCAGTGGACAAGAAGCTTAGTCTGAAGGGTAGTAATCAGAGGTCTTAAATTTGTTTGGTGTGGCAGTGGATGGCAGAGGTTTCAGAATGCAGAGTTCACCCTTTAATGATCTTTCTATCCATTCTGCTGTATCTATGTAGCAAACTCCACTTTTATCGATTGATAACTGCAAATTAATGTGTTCTTCTAAAGTTCAACCAATCACCATGATGTAAATATCCCCACCAAGGCCAATGGCAGGTTATCAGTGTGATGCTATGCAGAGGTAGGAAGAGGTGTGTGTGGCTGACTGTCAGCTGGTCTAGCACACCACTGCTTGTCTCTCTTCACTTCCACTTTCTTAGTAGGGGAAGGGACACCCTGACAGAAGCATGGGTGGAATGCTCATGGACCACTTAGGCACTGTTCTAAGAGACCTATATTTTTTTTAAATGTATCTCTTATAGTAACACTCTATGGTATGCAGAAATAATGAAACTGAAGCATGGATGAACTAACCAGTCCAAGATCATCTAGCTAATATCAGGACCACTGATAAGAACTTAATTTGTGTCAGTGTACATGATCTTAAAAACTACACTGAAGAATTCTCTAAAACTGTGCTAATACAGTAGACACCAGCCACATTGGCTATTTTTGTTGAAATAAGATAGTTAAAAGTTCAGTTCTTCACTCATACTAGATGCATTTCAAGTTCTCAGTTATCCCATGTTGCTAGTGGCTACTGTATTGGACACAGATAAAACACATTTCCATCATGACAGAGAGTTCTATTAACACTGCTCTAAACAAACTGTCAGAAAGAAAGAAGCTGCACACATTTGCTTGGAAACATGGAAATTTAATAGCCTCTGTGGACTGCATTAATAAAAACTCAAGATACACAGTTCTATGTCTCTTGTGCTCTGATCTAAGCAAATTCATTCACTTAATCATTCATTCAATACATATTAACTGAGCACCTACTATGTCCCGGGACCTGTGCTAGGTTCTTGGGATAGAAAGATGAATAAAGGGACAAAGCTCCTGCCCTCCAGAGGCTTACAATCTGATGGAGGAGGCAGACAAATAAAAAGGTGATATAAGGTTGTGAGGAGAATGTTATGATGGGAGATTCAAGGGTAATATGACTCAGACAGGCAGCCAGCTGAATCGAAAGCTTTCCGGGAGGGCTTTAAGAAGGGGTGATTTCCAGAGGGTGCTGAAAGATGAATAGGAGTTGATAGGTTTTACATATTTTAGACACAATGTTTCAAAACTCAGAGAGGCACAGGAGGACATGGGTCACTCAAGGACCCATGAGTAAGTGGCTCTGACTAAAATCTCAGATGAAGTAGATACTCAGGAAGTAACTAGACCAGTAGTCAGATGTTCTCCTTGGGGGCAATGGGTGTTGAGGAGGAACTGGCGCAGGAGTGGGGAGAAAGGAAAGAGAAAGAGTTCCTTTTTGGACATGCTGAGTTAGGGAGGCAGAACGTTCGACAGGATATGTGGGGCTGATGTTCAAGAACAAGGTTAGAGGTACAGATTTAGGGACATCAGCCTCAAAAGTATGAAAGTGTCATTCACTCAGTAGTGTCTGACTCTTCGCGAGTCCTTGGGCTTCAGCCCACCAGGCTCCTCTGTCCGTAAGATTCTCCAAGCAAGAATACTGGAGTGGGTTGCCATTCCTTTCTCCAGGGGATCTTCCCAACCCAGGGATTGAACCGGGGTCTTCTGCATTACTATCTGGGCCACCAGGGAAGCCCTTAGACAGTGAGTAAACAAAGGGCCTGGCTGAGCTCCTGGGGGAAGGTGTGCAGAGGGAGATGAGGACCAACTGAGCGTGACCAGAATGAACAGAACCAGCTCTAGGAAATACCAGCCTATCAAGGGCAGGAGAGAATCCTCAACAGAGGATCATTACAAGGATGTGGTGCCCAGAAATCAAGGGCTGTGATGCCAACTGAAGCAGAGAAGCCAAATAATACGAAGGCTGAAATGTCCCACCAGAAGTCGACCTTGGAAAGAGCCATGCTCATTCCGCAGTGGGTTCAAGAAGAAATGGAAAGTGAAGAAAGCTAAATTCCAGTATACAGTAGGTGCAGACAAATACTGTCTAATTCCACTTATACAAGGTACCCAGAATAGTCAAATTCATAGAGCCAGAAAGTACATTGGTAGATGCGGGGCAGGGCAGGGAGGGGAGTTAATGTTTAATGGGGACAGAGCTTCAGTTTAGGAAAGTGAAAAATTTGGGAGATGGACAATGGTGAGACTAGCACAACAATGGGAATGTAGTTAGTGCCACTGAAATGTACAGTTAAATATGGTTAAAATAGTATGTTTCATATTATGTAACTTTTAAAAAGGCATTTTTTTAAAAAAAAAGAGGGACTTCCTTGGTGGTCCAGTGGCTAAGACTCCGTGCTCCCAATGCAGGGGGCCTGGGTTCGATCACTGATCAGGGAAATATATCCCACATGCTCAAGTAAGAGTTTATGTAACACAACCAAAAAAAAAAGCCCAATGCAGCCAAAATCAATAAATTTTTTTTAAAAGAGTTGTTAATAAACATGGGAGACAAAACCTTTTAAAAAATAGTTAGCTTTGAAGATTATGAGTCCCCCGCATATCAATTAACTGCTTTAAATCAGCCAGAAATGTGAAGAGTCCAAGATGAGAGAGCATATAGGGGAAGCGAGGTTCAAAGACCCAGGAGGGGACAGGGGTCCAAGGCACAGGTGGAGAGTTTGGCTTTGGAGGAGAAGGGAATGTGAAGGGGGTGGGGGGACGGGAAGCACAAGCACAGATATGACATGTGTGAACCCACGTGGGAAGAGGAAACAGGAAATCCCATCTCCTGGCCCCTCCATGAAGTAGGCGATGAGGGCCTGCTGAAAGCAGAGAACTCAAGAACCTGAGTGAAGACCTGAAATAACCACTGGGCAAAGGCGGGGCCAGCGAGGGGCACAGGGAGCACGTCTGGGCTGCACCCCAAGGCCAGCTGAGGTTGGAGAGGAGTCTGTGGAGGAACCTATGATGAAAGGTGCCATTTTCCTGGCTGCGCACAGACCTCCAGGTACAACAGAGGAAAAATAAGACAGCTGAATTAATGTAGGTCAGAACTCCGCTGGAAGGGGGCATGGGCCAAAAGGAAGACAGACACCTAATTTGAGGAAGAGGGGATGGAAAACAGACCAGGAGTATGGGGGAATGACCAGCAGTGTGGCAGATGAGAGTGACAAAGAAGGAAAGAGATTTGGAGGAAGGTTTTATATGAGGGTAAGTCACTTCAGTCATGTCCAACTCTTTGTGGCCCCACGGACTGTAGCCCACCAGGCTCCTCTGTCCATGGAATTTCCCAGGCAAGAATATTAGAGTGGGTTTCCATTTCCTATTCCAGGGGATCTTCCCAACCCAGGGATCAAACCAGGGTCTCCTGCATTGGCAGGCGAGTTTTTACCACTAGTGCCACCTAGGAAGACTGGGGATGGAAGAAGGACCATTTGAACTGGCACAGTTGGCTCCCTGGGAGAGGGCTGGTTCCGTCCTTTGCCGTGTAGTATGTGAGCTTAGAAGAACTGTCACTCTCCCAGTGAAAGTTCTAAAGAAGCAAGTGTCCTCAATAAAGAGCCAAGTGCCAGGTACAAGTATTCTACAAAGAGCTGGCATCTTTTGGACAAAGAACTTTTTGGGCAAAGATTTTGGCACATCGGCAGAGTTGTTATGTTCCAAGGGAGGCAGTGGATCATTCTGAGGATGAAGGAGTGTAAGGATGGAGGAAGTGACTCTTTAGGCACAGGTGACAAATATACGTCCTGGGGGGATCATGTGACTTCAAGATGTTAGTCAGAGCTTTGGGGTCAAGGGTGGCTCCAAAGGATATAGAAGACTTGGTGACACTCCCAAAAAGAGGGTTTTGGTCCAGGATCCCCCAAAACACTGGTGGGAAGTTTGGGCTCCCAGCAGATACAAGAGCACAATTAGGACAACTGTCCCAGGCCAATGGGACAGCTGGATTGGTTGATTCCCAAGACCCTCACTCTTGAGTGAAAAATCAAGAGCAGCTCCCCAGGAGATGAGGGCATGTTGATCATACCCCAAAAAGGTCCCAACCTAAATGTGAAGTGTCCAGATTAGACATTCCTTCCGGTAAGAAAAGCAGAGAACCCAGGGTATGCACAATGAAAGAAATTAACCCAAGGAAGTCATAATTATTCATAACTAAAAATAGAGATTTCCTAGGGGTCAGTGATGAAGTGTAAGCTGATATAGACCACCCAGGTGCATGTAGCCAAATCAAATACCCAAAGGACAATTCTGCTGGACCCATGATTATCAGGTAGGTGGGTTTCCAAATTTCTCTCTCAACTTCACCCTAAAGAGACTTCTTCAATCCTAGGAGGCCAATGGCCAGAGAAATCTCAGCTAACATCCAACTACTCCCACATCATGGGAATCACAAGGCTTGACACAGAGGGTGGGGAAGGGAGCCATTCCCTCTCTGTTCTAAAAGTAGTTTCAGAATAATGCTGGGAACCCAGACTTTAAACTGAGGCCTTAAGTGGTTTGAGCAAACCTCCATCTCCTTCTGCATAGTACCCTTATTAAAGAGGTTCTAGTTCTCTGAGTAGGGCCCACGTGGCCCAAACACAGTCCCTTCTTCATAACTCCACAGTCACCTGTGGAAACTGGACAACACCCATTCCAGTCAGCAAATCCTGAACATCCCTGAGACACCTGTACAGATAGGTGAGCAGACAACTGAGACTCCAGGTACCTGCCACCCTCAGCTCAGAGGTCATCTCCTCCATGACCAACCGCCGCCCACCCCCCGACAATTACACACACACACACACACACACACGCTAGACACATATCCCTCTCTCCATAGAGCTTACCATTGCATTTATTATCACACTGTGTTTAATTGTTTATGTTTCGTCTCCCCAGTTACCTTTGGAGCTTCTTTATACCTAAGGTCTAGCACCCAACAAACACTTGTAGGATGAGTTAGACCGCGCTGGGCTGGGATAGAGTTAAACTGAACTGGACTGAGTTGAAGTTAAAGAAAATGACACCGGGGACCACAGAGCAGTACGTTCCCATGGCAACAAAGTTGCGTATTACCCTGATTTCCTCATCAAGGGTCTCCCCAGAAACCCACCACCTCCAGGATGTCTCCCCAGTCCCCCAGCCACGGCGCCCCTCCCCGACCATACAGGTCCTCATTGCTTCTTGTGGAACAGAGCCGGCGCCGGCTCGTTGCTGGGCTCGGCCATGACCTGCATGGGTTGGTTGTTCAGGGCGGCCTCGCGCATCTTGTGGTACATGAATTCGTTCTGGCGGAACATGCGCAGTTCCATCTCCGTCTGCATCCGCATGGCCTGTGGGACGCAGATACATGGAAAACAGTGATGACAAAGCCCCAGAACGTGTCGTTCTCTGACTTACGTTGGCCCTACTGGAAAGGACATACATACACCCTACACACACATGCACACATGTATACTCACACTCATCCACTGGGGGTCGAATGTCTTGACAGTGGGCTCCATTTGTTAGGAAGAGGCAGTCACACGAACCACTGAGAGAGTAGTTTGAGGGACTGTTCTCAGCAGAGATTATTCTTAGGAAGTGCCAAGTGAGGACCTGGGTTTGAACCTTGGCTCCTTAATCCCTTCAGCCCTCAGTCTGCTCATACTTGAAATGGGTGAGATGCTCTTGTACTTTACAATGTGCCAGGAAGACTACAGCCTGTGACACATAGCAAAACCTTCACCCTCATAATGTTAATTCAAGAAATATTTATCAAGGGCCAGGCTTTGCTGCAGGGCTAAGCTCAGAGCAGTGAATTCGGTGACAATGACTTATTTGACAAGCTTAATATACTGACATAAAGTTAGTCTTCTCATACATTCTATGATGCCAGAGTCTGTCCTCTTTCCCTATACTGCTGCCTGAGAACAGTCCCTTGGACTCTGTTACCTTCAAATAAATCAGTCTTCAAAGCACAAAGGAAACCAGCAGCTATGAAAAGCATGCCATTCACACACCAACTCATTAAACCCTTGTGCCAACCCTGTCTTTTTCCTCCATTTCATTGGTGAGGAGACTGAGGCCCATACATTCAGTATTAGCAGCCACACAGCTGGAAAGTGGTAAAGCAGGAATTGGATCCCATCAGTAGTATGATTCTAGAGCCTGTGCTCTCTGACTCTACTCCACGTAGCAGGTTTTCTAATGTACCTGTTATAGACACATGCACACCATTAGGTTTTCTCAGTCCAGGCTTGGAGCAACCTAGGGTTCAAGTTTGAGTTTTGCCATCCACTCGCTTTGTGACTAAGGACAGGTTACTCTCCTTCCCTGGGCTTCAGTTTTTTTCAGATGTAAAATGAGAGGAGGGACTAAGCATGTCTGAATCCCTCTTGAATTCCCTCCTGGGCTTCAATTTTTTCAGATGTAAAATGAGAGGAGGGACTAAGCATGTCTGAATTGACACAACTAGGGTCTTTGCAAAAGCAGAATCTAGTACTCAGCTTTCATCTTCAGAGAGCCCAACCCAGCCCCAAGATGCCACTTGCCTCTAAGTCCTTGGTGATGGGATGAGAGGGTCCATGTGTGACCAGGAGGATGGCATAAGCTTTGCAGATCATGCCATGCCCCACCTCAATGTTGCCAGCATGCCAGTTGGTCAGCCCTGCCCGCATGATGGCCATGCCCAGCTGGGCATTGTTGGGATGGTACAGCTTCCTGTGGGGACATAGCAAGTAATCATAACACATATTCCCAACCTGCCTTGCATCTGCACAGCATTTGACAGCTTATAAAGGGAACATGGGACTTCCCTGGTGGTCCAGTGGTTAACAATCCTCCTTCCAATGCAGGGGACACAGGTTCAATCCCTCATTGGGGAATTAAGATCCCACTTGCTGTGGGGCAACTAGAGAGAAGCGTCAGCACACTGCAATGAAGACCCAGGGCAGTCAAAATAAAATAAATAAATAAAACAAAGTGACATCACTGACTAAGTCAATTTGCTTTCCCATCAGCCCTGGGAGGTATCCACCATCAAAGATAGATTGAGGCACACAGAGCCACAGTCAGATGCCAAACACCCCACATGGTAAGGCTGTGAGGTGGAGACTCTGACCTGGGACACTGAGCCAAGTCCTCACAGGGAAACGGGGTCAGGATTGTACTTGGAATTTGAGTACTGGGAGCTGGCAGCCTTCAGGAGCACTCAACCTCTCCTTGGGAAAAAGCTAAGAAGTTTAGGGGAAAAAAATAATTCGAATGTTCTTCGTGGGACAAAGTGGTATGCTTACCTCCCTGATACCCTCCATGGATTGAAGAGGGTACCCTCCATTCAAAAAAATACAACTTCCTTATGCAAAAGTATTCATTTGGCCAGAAATACAAATTCACACACCAATGTGGACACTTACGAAAAGAGAAAACATTAGCAGAGGAAAGGCAAGGAAGTTGCCTTTTACAGTTTATAAGCAAGGATGGCCCACACCTCTTTTCTTTCTTTTTTTTCCTTCTTTTTCTCTCTGTTTTTTTTTTTTTGGTTTGTTTGTTGTTTTTTATCACACTGTGGGGCTTGCAGGATCTTGGTCCCAAACCAGGGATTGAACCCTCACCCCCTGCAGTAGAAGCACAGAGTCTTAACCACTGGACTATCAGGGAAGTCTTTCTCTTTTTTTCTTTTGATAAACTCTAAAGCTGCAAGATTGCCTCTGTTGATTGGTTGATTGGTTGGGGGTGGGGGGAACCTTTCCAGGCACTTAAAATCGAGCCAGATTTAGCCTTAAGGAAACCAAAAGCAGAAGATGCCACCCAAATAATAGACAACCTCGAGGTGGGAAAGACTAAGGTTGACACACAGATTTCATCTCAAGTATCAGATCTGATTATTTGGACATTATTGCTGGGCACACCATGATAAAGACGTTCGGTCATATAAAGGATGGTGATCGATTACTAATGCCTGCTGTGGGTGCCAGAGGGAGGGATCTAGTGGTATGCCTGCCATCTTCTTACCATCCCTGAAACAGACACATTTCTGGAGGCTACCTGAGACCCAGGATCGTCACTTACATGTAGCCATCCACCATCCTCCTGGCGTAGTGTGAGGCCTCCTCAAAGGCCTGCAGGTAGGAGAGGACCTCGGAAACAATGCTCAGCAGCCGCAGCATGTAGATGTTGGTGTCAGCAAACACTGGCTCCTGCTTCTGCAGGCACTCCCGGCATAACTTCACAACCTAGGAGACACAAGCCCTGTCCACACTCACTGCACCAGAGCACAAGCTTAATTCACATATGGGAGCATGATGATGCCACTGGACACTCCTGCTTTAAAGACTGAGGAAACTGCTAACAGAGATGGGAAAGCACCAGCTTGTGATTTGAAGAGAAAAATGGTTCCCATTTGGCTAAGATGCAGGGATGGAAAGGGTAACAGTGGGACACAGCGCTGACATGGCAGGATGAGGAGTTACCATAGAAGTTAGTATAGAGTCTGTTAACAGATGAATGGTACATATATACAAGGGAATTCTACTCAGCCATAAAAAGGAAAAGAATTTGAGTCAGTTGTAGTGAGATGGATGACCCCTAGAGCCTGTTACACAGAATGATGTAAGTCAGAAAGACAAAAACAAATATTTCATATTAATGCATGTATATGGAATTTAGAATATTTGTTAGAAGGATTGATGCTAAAGCTGAAGCTCTGATACTTTGACCACCTGATGTGAAGAGCTGACTCATTGGAAAAGACCTTGACCCTGGGAAAGATTGAAGGTGGGAGGAGAAGGGGATGACAGAGGATGAGATGTTTGGATGGCATCATTGACTCAATGGACACGAGTCTGAACAAACTCCGGGAGGACAGGGAAGTGAAGGACAAGGAAGCCTGGGGTGCTGCAGTCCATGGGGTTGCAGAGTCTGACATGACTGAACAACAACAAATGGAATCTAGAAAAATAGTCCTGGTGAACCTATTCACAGAGAAGAGATGGAGATGCAGACATCTTTCTCTGTGTCCATACCTCTGCCATGTGAGGATGCAGTGAGGTGATATGCATGGAAGGTGGCCAGACAAACATGAACTAAGTTTCCTGTCTGCTGTGTATATGTGTACTAGTCAGGAGTTTCCTTGGCAATTGACAGAAACCTAAATAGAACTGCTTAAGAGTAATGGAATCACACAATGGTATATTAAAAGGAACTCAGCCATTAAAAGGAACAAAACTGGGTCATTTGTAGATATGGATAGACCTAGAGCTGTCATACAGAGTGAAATGAAGCAAGTCAAAAAGAGAAAAATAAATATCATATGTTAATGCATATATGTGGAATATGGAAAATTGTATTGATGAACCTACTTGCAGGGAAGGAATGGAGACGCAGATATAAAGAATGGACACATCGGGGGAAAGAGAGGGAAGGACGAACTGAGAAGGTAGCATTGACATATATATACCATCATGTGTAAAATAGATAACTAGCAGGAAGCTGCTATATAACACAGGGAGTCCAGCCTGGCACTCCATGATAACCTAGAAGGGTGGACTGTGTCAGGGAGGGAGGCTCAAAGGGGAGGAGATACATATATAATTATGATTGATTGGCATTGATATATGTCAGAGACCTCCACAACATTGTAATTATCCTCCAATTAAAAAAGAAGTCAGTAGGGAGTTATGAAAGCTATATTCATACACTACTTCTTCTCACAACAGCATGATGAGAGAGGTACTGCTAATATCCTCATTTTCCCAGATGAGGAAACAGATGCACAAAGAGGGTAAGTGTTTTGCTAAAGTTACACAGAGAGTGAGTGATGGAGTGCAGATTCAAACCAACCAATGGAGCTTTATCTTAACCATCATGTCCATGATTCTCCATCGTGGCTGTGCTTTGGAATCATCTGGAGAGCTTTTGTTTATTTTACACCTTGAACAAGTAAAATTTCTACTTCTTAACTATGCTTCAATAAAGCTGGAAAACATAAAGAGTATACTACATCCTGGAAGATATGGCCCCTTCTCATGAAGTATTGCTTATAAAGCAGTGCTTGACCTGAGCCTTTGACAGCCTTATAAAACTTTTTATTAGGCGAGGAGGACATGTGTAGTATGGTAGGTGATGTAACCAGTAGAATCCAGGCTATGGTTCCATTTCCACACCTCTATGGCTATAAAATGCATCATTTGGACTAGTGATACCAATGTGCATTCAGGTACCATTGGGACAAAATTTATGTAAGTTCCTGGAGAGCTTTGTAAAATCCCAGTGTCTGAGTCCTACCCTAGACCAAAGAAACTAAATATCTAGGGGAGGGACCCTGGCATCTGTAGCTTGTATCTGCCCCTGGGTGGCCCTTATGCACAGTGACACTGGACAGTCATGACCTGGTAGAGGTGTGCAGGATGGATTGGCAGAGAGAGGGTCCAGGAGACTGACTGGAAGGAGGCCACATTGGTCCTGGTGAGGAAGAAGATGGGCTCAATCCCAATGGACTTGGAGTCAGGCCTTCCTGACTAAGTCACATGTAGACATAGCTTCAGTGATGCCCTACAAAGTCAGATGGTTTCTAGATTTTAGTGGTTCATAGCTCTCCTCTCTTTCCCTTGCCAATCTCATAGGAGAAACGCCACACAATTCTTTCCATTTCTAATGAGTGGAAATTAGTTTTCTCTGAGATTCTCCCAGAGGCCCCTGGGGCAACTGGGTGGGGGTGTGACGGAGTGTGAGCTAACAAACAATCCATCCTGAAAACAATCATGAACTCGTAGGCAGTGTCCAGCCCTACATCTGGCCCTGCCCAGCTTGAGCGCAGAAGAGGACAAAGATGAGAGGACAAAGGAATGGAATCAGGGGCTGAAGCTCCTACCTCAAACCTCTAGATTTTTTATATTGTACAGCAACACTTTGTTCATGGGGACTCTCCCTGAGACTTGACAGACTCCTGGGAGGCAAGCAGCATGTCCTGTGTAAGTCACCTCAATAAGGGCTCAAAAATGGGCAATGAATGAGTGAGGAAAGAAGAGTGAAGACAACGGAAAAGCTGATAGAAATGAACAGAAATGAATCTCCCACACTGCCACACCCTAGTGGCATCCAAACCCAGCCACACAAATTGTTTAAAGAGCTTGGAGGGGAAAAAAAATACTGTGATGATCCCTGTGTTCTGTTGCAGACTGGGTGAATCACATCTCAGGGGGTGAGGCACAGGAATCTGTATTTCCAACAAACTGCCTGAGTGAATTCAATGCAAGTAAGTGCTCTGCAGGTCGGTGTTGGTGGTGGGTCTCAGCTTTAGGTGCACACTGAAACCACGTGGGAGCTTTAAAAATCTTGATGTCTGGGTCCCATGCTAAGAGATTCTGGAAGGACTGTCCTGGGCATCAGTATTTTTCAATGATTCTAGTGTACGGCCTGGCTCTAGTGTAGAGCCAGGGTTGAATGCATAGTTAGAAGAGCCTGGAAACTGTAGGCAGGACACACGTTCAGTTACCAGAAAGCAAGCCATCCACTGCCATTTCCATTCCTCCATCCCTGATGCCAGCCTAAAATATTACAGACCATCTCCCAAACCCCAGGGACATTTGTCAGGCTGCCTGTGCTTTCCTCAAATCCAGTTTTAGTGAGTTGAACCATCAGTGAGAACACACCCCTAAAAGAGGCTACATGGCTTAAGGGCGAGAAGAGTCGTGGTCTCAACCATGAGACATCTTCCAGAAAAAAACCTGCTTGGTAGCCTCCCCATCTTGACTGCCCCCCACCGTTTCCCTCCTTTACTAGAGAACCTTTCTGACCTCTTCCCCACCCCTACCCCCTATAAAAATGAATTTTTACCTCATGGTACAAACCCTCGGAGCGAGCCTTGTCAATTTTTTCCAATGTATCCTTGGAGAATTGTATCATCTCCTTCACCACCTCCTGAGAGGGCTGGGGAAGGAAGGGACACTGAGTTGGAGGCCCCTTCATGAGGCAACCCACCCCACCTCTGAACAGCCAACATTTTTTTATTGGAGTATAATTGCTTTACAATGTTGTTAGTTTCTGCCATTCAAAGAAGTGAATCAGCCATAACTGTACACATATCCCCCTCCCTCTGGGACCTCCCTCCCACCCACCCGCCCATCCCAGAGAACTGAAGTGAACTCCCTGTGCTATAGAGGAGGCTTCCACTAGTTCTCTTTTTATACATGGCAGAGTATATACGTCAATCCCAAACTCCCAATTTGTCCCACCCTCCCACTCGCCCCCACCATGTCTACATTTTAGTTCTCTATGTCAGCGTCTCATTCCTGCCCTGTAAATAGGTTCAGTTGCTCTTGTTGACATTTGCTATAGTACAAGATTAATGCCTTCCTCCTTGTGAATGCTTCATTTCCGTAAATGCCACTCAGGATCCCTATAGCTTTTCCAGCTCCCTCATTATGCTTCTGATGCACATTGCATTTTCCATTGACCAAGTCCCAGAGCCTTGCTGCTGGGTCGTGTTCCCCAGCCCAGCTCGTGCCTGGGTTTATAGACCCCAGTGAAGAATCTGGCATTAATCCCTGTTGTGTTTTCTCTGGCATTTTGGATTCTTATTGTATTCTTTCACTCAAAATGTTTGCTGTTCTTCCTCTTGACTTCAAATCAACCACATATTCTATAGGTATGCCCTTGAATTTTTGTTTCCACCCAAATACTGGCCAGCACAGGACTGAGGACAGAGGCTGAGGGTTTGACCAAAATAATCATACTCCAGTTTGCCACTGAAGCTCATTAAACAGGGCTCTGTGGCTATGGGCTGTCAACCCTTTCATGTGTCTCTGCATCCAGCTCATAGTTCCTAGGAGGAACTTCCTTGGTGATCCAGTGGTTAAGAATCCACTTTACAAAGCAGGGACACAGGTTCGATCCCTGGTCAGGGAACTAAGATCCCACATGACCCGGAGCAACCAAGTCTACATGACACAACTATTGAAACACGAGTGTCACAACTACAGAGTCGGTGCACTGCAACAAAAGGCCCTGTGTGACTCAATGAAGACCTGATGCAACAAAATAAATAAATGCATGATTTTTTTTAAAAGGCTATCATGAGAGAACTTGTTAGCTGTGAAATCTAGACAAATTAGGCTTCCTATGTTTGCCTAAGCAGTCTAGTGATCTTGTAAAACAAAAATGAAGTTTGATATTTGAGGTACCATAATTAAGAAGCCAGTTCCCATGAAAGCATAATTTTGAAGAAAAAGTGCCAGATTTCTCAAAGACCAAAGAAAGAGTTTGCCTGCAATGCTTACCAATATCAGAAGCTCTTTTCTAAAAAAAACATTTTTTGCTTAGGCATATTTGATATAATTTTTTCCAAAAAAAACCTTTATTATTTATTCTGACTGTAAAATTAATATATGCAAACTGTTAAAAAAATATGGAGAAAAAAGTGGAAATCCCCAGAACTCACCCAAAGATGGACACAGTATGTTGAGGAGTATTTTCTAATACATATACACAGGAATAATATTTTAAATATTTAACAACTAGTATAGGAAAAGCACTGACAGATCAAAGGCACAGACACATCAATAGTATGTCTACATGACCATATCACCTTACATTGGCTGAACTTCAGTCCTGCATGTTCACACATGCATGAGTGTGTCTACGTCAGTAGCATCATGTTTTTCTAACTGGTATAGTAACATATTTCTCTCTATTGCCTGTTTGTTTGTTTTTTTCACTCATTATAGTCAAAGTTATAGTTTTTCAGTAGTCATGTATGGATGTGAGAGTTGGACCATAAAGAAAGCTGAATGGCAAAGAATTGATGCTTTTGAACTGTGGTGCTGAAGAAGACTCTTGAGAATCTCTTGGAGTACAGGAGATCAAACCAGTCAATCCTAAAGGATATCAGTCCTGAATATTCATTGGAAGGACTGATGCTGAAGCTGAAGCTCCAGTACTTTGGCCATCTGATGCGGAGAGCCGGCTCATTGGAAGAGACTCTGGTGCTGGGAAATATTGAAGCAAAAGGAGAAGGGGGTGGCAGAGGATGAGATGGTTAGATAGCATTATTGACTACATAGACAGGAATCTGAGCAAACTCAGGGAGACAGAGAAGGACAAGGGGGCCTGGAATGCTGCAGTCCATGGGTTCACACACAGTTAGACACGACTTAGTGACTGAACAGTAGATATTCCCCAATATAAATATGAAAACAAAACTACCAAGCATTTTACAGAATTTTACAGACATTATCATGCTTCCCACATGAAGCTCTCATTCATTCTGTGTTCTAAGCATAACAGTCTGGAGGGAAAGGAGCATGAGACCAATTCTCTAAGGAAAATGTCTATCCCAGGCAATAAAAGCCCTGTAATTGCTTTCTAAAAAAAAAAAAAAAAAAACCTATATTGCATTTTTAATTACTAGAATTTTCTACTATATAAAGCTAGAATAATTTATTTAATCAGGTCTCCAAGTATCCAATATTTTTTTTACCATAGGGAATTGTGGAATTGGGGTCAACAACTCTGTTTAGATTTTCTGCTTAAATTGTTTTGTGGAGTCACCTTCCCTAAACTATCAAAAACTAAGAAGAGAATGGGCATCTGTTCCCTTAAAAACAACCCTCCTCCATAAATGGAGATCAGGGTCTTCCCTCAGGCTCCCAGCTGCCTTGAGCCAGTTCTGCTGTGTTCACCTTGTAGTAGGAGAGCTGCCAACCAAGAAAAGCTTGCTTCAACATCAGGATCACTTAAAGAAGTGGGATTATGTTTCTTTTTCTCCCCTCCCCTCCACTTACTTTGACTTCTGCAGAATTCCTCATTATCCCTACAATTCTAACTACCTTCATTTCCATATCCTTCTGTACCTGAAAAGTGAAAATGTCAGTCACTTAGTCATGACTGATTCTTTGTGACTCCATAGACTGTAGTTTTCCAGGCTCCTCTGTCCATGGAATTCTCCAGGCAAAAATATCGGAGTGGATTGCCCCTTTCTCCAAGGGATCTTCCCAACCCAGGGAAGGAACTCAGACCTCCAGCATTGCAGGAAGATTGTTTATTGTCTGAGCTACCAGGGAAGCCTGGGCTTCCCCACAATTCTGTGTTTGTTTCTGTACTTGCCTCACAGCCTGACCCCAACAATTGATGCATACATCAGTGCTCTGCCTTCTATTGGGTCTCACCCCTGGGTTAAACTTCACCTTGACCTTTGATGTAGCTGAGATTTCTGGCTGCCTTCCTGCTTGACAACCCAAATGTTGACTTCCCGCCTGAGTACTGCTCAGCCCCCTGTTAGTTAACTGGTCATGTCTTGGTCCCAGACCACATCATTTCAGTGTGTGTCTGCTTCCCTAAGCCCATTTGAATCAACCACATTAGTGAGAGGAGTCCACGTCTTGCCTGGTGTGCAGAGTCCTGTGAGTAGGGTCCAGAGGTGTATCGTATCAAACCTACATCTTCAGTTTCACCTATCATTTGTTGCCCAAGTGTTGGCTCATAAAATCCCATCTAGTTGATGACCACTAGTCTCCAAGCTACTGTAAGTTCCATCATATTCAAAATTCTTAGTGAATCTTCTCGAGTAATCAATAACTTGCAGGATAGACTCAGAGAATACCAAGCTGCTAGATGTTAAGAAAAATGGTACTGATGAACCTATCTGCAGGGCAGGAATAGAGACGCAGATGTAGAGAACAGATCTTGGACATAGCGGGGGCAAGACAGTGTGGCACGAATTGAGAGAGTAGCAGTGAAATATATACATTACTGTATGGAAAATAGATAGCTAATGGGAAGTTGCTGTATAGTGCAGGGAGGTCAACACGGTGCTCTGTGACAACCTAGAGGGGTGGGATGGGGAGATGGGGGAAGATTCAAGAGGGAGGGACATCTGCATACTTATGGCTGATTCACATTGTTGTATGGCGGAAGCCAACATAATGTTGTAAAGCAATTATCCTCCAATTAACAACAAATCAAAAAAAAATAAAGTGCATCTCTTATAGAAAGCATTTTTTTAAAAAATCTTCTTCAATTTGATGCTGTAAGAAAAAGTGCTACTTTAAGCTCTTTAAGGGAGTTAAATTTTTTCAAGGAGGCAACTGCCAAGGTTTTCAAAACAACCTGGCTGAAAGGTTGTTAACTGACCCATGCAACATGTGATAAAGCTATTCTGAGAAGTGAAATGGACTGTTCCACTTGGCTCTGTTTTCAGAGTAAAGGCAGGAAAACCTGATCCTCATATAAGATTTAAGGAACCCCACAGAGAGAGGTTCCACTCTCCAGGAGCACCAAGATTAATAGAAAACAAGGAGGAAGAGAGAGGAGCCAGAGGAGAAGGGGAGGAGCTAGTGGTGAAGCGGGAGGAACCAGAGGAGGAACCAAAAGAAGAGTAAGGGAGGGAAAGAGGGACACTGGCTCCCCAAACTTGAAAATTGGAACATTACTATTGTGAAATAGGTGAAAGAGGGAAAAAATTAAAAATTAAAAAAACAGCAACCTAAACAAGGAGGGTCCAAAGCTACAACTGAGGGAAATTGGTGTTATTTTCTCATTTTAAAAATATTTGGTTTTTATTTTTATCCAACTCTATATGTATATATTATATATACATACATACACACACATACACATATATATATATATGCACATACACACACATGAGTCAGTAACAATTTGATGCCAACTGAAGGTTTGACGTTGACTCACAAAGCCTGGTGTACAGAGAGGAGCTTATCAGGCTGTGATAAAGCATTATTTAATAAATAAAAGCAATTGTGATGACATCATAGAAAAGCCTGAAGGAACTGTTAATAAGTTAGTCCAATGCCCCACTTCACAGATGAGGAAACTGAAACCCACAAGGAAGAACCTTGCCCAAGCTTTGCCATTCAGTGTCACAGCCAGAATGAGAACACAGCCTCCTAATTTTTTCTCCAGTGTCCTTT